TGAGAACAACAAAGCGCTAAAATATTTCTAAACGATTGTAAAGGGTGCAATAATGTGGAATTAACCTGACGTTATGAATACTCTATACTACAGCTAGCTTACCATTTGCTTTTGAACTAAGCAGTACTAACTACAGAATGTCATTTAAAAAGGAAAGAAGAAATGTTATGGAAAACTAATTTATTGAATTAACCAATGGCAAGACAGAGTTTCTTATGCTCTTAGAGTGGAACTCAGAAAAGAGGAAGTGGATTTTCTTCTTAGAAATTTGAACAAGACTACTTGTATAAAGCACGTCACATGAAATGTATTATTAATATGAGATTTTAGTTACTTTGTTAAAAGACATACCTCTGCAATGTCGGGGGTGAAATCATGGATATTTGCGAATAATACAGCGATCAGAAACATGATATGCCTCAGAATGACGAGCTTTTTATTTCTGAAGTTACAACATATTCGATTAAAACCAATACGATGTTTACTAAGATTATCAATGAAAACTATTCGTACTTTGAAGCTATGTGCAAGATATCTTGTATGATACCATAGCCAACAACATAATTCCTATTAGCGACTGAAGCTTCCACCAACGCAGCTGTGGACCATAAAAGTTGTGATAGAACAGAGTTTTCTAGTTGTACGGGGACCCTCAATAAAATCCAGTTTATAAGCATTGATCTCTTCAATTCTCAAAGATAAAATAGTAAAGATTAAGGTACAAGAGAAACTTACGTATTTTTCGGAGAAGTAGCTCGTCGTATGAGTCCACAGAATGTGGGTAGCACCTGGCCACGAACATCATCAGTAAATGGCTGTTTTTCGTGTCGACGAAACATATTGACAAGTATCCATGATAAATCGTCAATAAGTTCTTCGTCACCACGTATGAGCAACCGAGTAAGTTGAGAAATCAAAGAAATATCACCCAAACTCGACATGCAATTCACATCCTCTAAAATGAAACCATATCGATGATAACAATATTAGAGATATAAGGAGAACATTAACTTTTCGAAGAAGGTCTACCTGCACACTCTGATATTTTAGACCGTAAGAATTTGAGTCCTGCTGATTCATTTTGGAAGTTACCACTCTTTATCATATCCAAGACGGCTTTTGGAATAATGCAACAGTCATCTGCGAGAGTGAACTGGAAAACAGCTTCAACATCAGCAATTTCGTTTTTTCACTTAAAAGATACTGTCTGATCTTCAGTTGAAGAGGCTTCATAAAATCAAGATCATTTCGTATTGGCAAGTAGCAAAAAAGATAAAAGCTCACCTCTACTTCATCACTATCTAATCTTCTTTTACTATTAAAAAAGTCTTCTTGCTTCTGTTTCCTTATCTGTACTTCTGATATTCGTCGACGCTTCCTCAACTCTTCACTTGATAAACCTTGAAGATAAGTATGACTTTAGCTGGAAGTATTAACCTCTCAAATCCCGGAAGACAACGATATTCGCGGTGGTATATAAGACCGCACTTGCATTGAGTAAAAATCTCACAGGTGATCAAAAATATTCTTTCATCTTCCATCACCTTGCTCGAACAAATTCTTTGAGTCAAACAATTTCCAGAAGAAATCTAACCGGATAGGTCTACTTGCCGTTCGATGAGTTATTCGGTTGCAAGCAGATGCTATGAGTCAAGCTCAAGAATTTCTGCTCAAAAAGATTGCTAATAGTGACATATACGTGCGCAAATCAAACAGGTTATAGTAGATCGGTTGTCGAAATAGGATCTAATATCGAAAAACTACTGAAATTATGCAGTCTTTGCCCTATAAATGAGAACTTCCAGATCTTGTAACGCTAGCTTAATAAAGTTTAACACCAACTTAATTGCTGCAAATCCTTGCTTCAAAAAAAGTTTTAACAACTTCAAAAAATTCGTAAACCTTCGCTATATGATGTAATAGGGGTAAAAATCAATGTGTAATGAGTATGGCTCACAGACTTTATAAAAATGAAACTAAACGCTGAGAATACCTTTGAGCTTGTAAAGGTTTTCATGGTGGCTAGTTCCAGGATTTGAAACTCCAGCTCCATCATTGTACACGATGTTGGTATTTTGATCTATAAGATTGAAATGAACCACCATCAACAAGATATTTACAATTCATATACCATTGTACTTCTTATTAAAAAGACCAACTAATACTCAACTAAAGAAATGAAACAGGAATCACCTTCAGCAATCTCCATGGGTGAAGACAGATTTAAGAAATAACGTATAAATCGTCGCTCCACTACAAATTTGGGCTGCGCTCCAGACAATAGCCGCGAACAACGAAGTTTCAATTTCAATAATTCTATCTATTCTTGAACCACGTTCCTACTTCCTAAAGGAACTTATCATTTCTTTCTATAAGCGAAATTATAGTGTCTCCATCTTTGGTTATCATGGATTTGATTGGAGAAGTTTATCTCTAAATCAATCAGTTGACCTCTGCGGAAAAAAGTTTGGTGAGCTCAGTTAATCATGTTTAGGTTCTTATGGACTTTCTTCAAAACGGAAATCCCATACGGAATCGAAGACGAAGATTTGCGAAAAAGCATTTTGAGCGATATTGTTCACGAGGATGGGCGCGCGTTGCAACATCTGAAAATGGAAGTGATGTGGGTCAAACTTTATTTCTGCGCTTTTCTACCTTTGAAGCTGAATTTACCCGAAATGAATAAGTTGCAACAATCAAAGATGAATGATCTACCATGTCTGGAAGAAGGCACTATTCCATAGCTCAATTCCCAAGGTCGCATGTCCCAAATCTCACTGAGATTACCTGTGTGTCTAAATGGCTCATCCTAAGGCTTTATGGAAAACCCTATGGACACTTATGGAAATCGTCATGTGGCAGAACTCTATTGTAGGACTGTACATGCAGTGTGTTAGCTTCAGCTATAGCCCGGAGTTTCTTAGGGTAAGAAGATTGGACACAATGGAAACATTCACATGCTGACCGCATCAAAAGCTCCTAGGCATATGTATAACATATTTCAATTGGATTCTTAAAAATTTTAGAAAGGCAGAACAGTGCCAACAAAGAGATCTTTGAATATTTAAAATTTACAAGAAAAAGTTCAATCGAGAGTTGGCCAGAATTGAATCCACATGTCTACCAGCCTTTCTGAAAGCGGTATGAAAGCAATCTCTTAGCTTCAAGTTGAACTCTTCAATCTCTGGTGAGATGAGCATATATAGATTGAGTTGTATGAGGCGCCTGATGGAGCCTGCCATGCGTCGGGCACGCGGCTGAATCATTGCAGATTTGAGGAGAAAATGGGAAAGAGGAATTTGGTTGCAAAACTATGTGCGTATCCATGAGGGCTTTATGCAACTATGCAGATAGACAAAGATCATTCATGGTCATCTGAATTATATGTATGAAGCAGTTTTACTGCATGTTTGGATTTTTCGTAATACTTTGACGTCTGCTTGTAAGAGCTCACCGCTAATAATTTTTGATTGATATCTTGTCTTATTCCTGCCCCTGAGCAGGTTCGATATTCAGAAATTGTGAACTATAAGAAAGCGTAGTTTGTGTGTGCATGTGTATGTATGTATGTGTGTATTATTTACGTGGGTGCTTATATGTTCATTTGCTCTAAGAGAGTTAATATCATGTTAGCTACAGAACATAAGTAAGGCAGAACAGTTTTATTGGGAAAACGCGTAAATGATTACGTGGTTGTGGGGCCTTACGCTTGGGATAAATGTTCTCTGCGTTCTTTCTTCAAGAAAGCTTTGGAAAGTATGGTCAGAAATTCAATACTCAGCAGAGATGTGCATGCAATGACTTTTTGTATCGGGTAAAGAAGAGGTGGCAGTGGAGAACAATAAAGTTATAGGACGTGATAAGCGCAGAGGAGGTAATTATTTATCTAGTGCACCTGGGTTGTCTGCCGATTTTCGCCTCATTCGGAACCGTTGCTTTACCTCGGTGACGATGAAGGAAATATTGGAATAGTTGATGTCACGTCTGTTGTTGGACCTGAGCACTCTACTCAAACCAAGATGATACAATGTGAGGTTTCAGTGATTGTTTCGCACCGTGACTTCAAATCAATCATTGAGGTTTTCCTGCCCACGAGGCTACAATCATGGACGTGATTGGTGTACCAAACTGTCCGAACGGCCTTCTCTCTTTATCGGGCGACACCACAGTGCGGTAGGCCATCGCTTGATCGCGTATATTTAAGCTCTAAATCTTACTAATATAGCAGCTTTAAACATTCCTCTTTGAGATGTCTAGCTGCGCTTTTGCCTGAATCATAATCATCTTACAGGTTATGGGATTTACAGCACCAAAAGTCAACACTATATTACGGTCATGAAATGTCTGTTCGTAGCGCTTGCTTCGCTCCAAACTGCAGCAGTACGATCTCTCTAGATTAGCACTTAGATGCTCAATTTTCGCAACAGAAGATGTCATTTTAGGTGTTTTCGTAACTGGTGGACGAGATGGCCAAATTCGCCTGTGGGATACTAGAACAAGCAGTTTTCAAAAACAAGGACAGCTAGTTAAAAAGCCTGTGAATGTCTACAGAAATGCTCATGTTGTAAAAGGTAAAGCAGATCTAATGTACCTGACTCTTTAGTACGTAAAATGTTTCAAATGGAGTATTGATCGACAGATTCCTCTCCCTCTTTCCTGTCTACTTCATCTTTAGTGACCAGGGTTTTCATCTACCTGCTGGAAATTTTGCAATTGATATTCAAAGAAAATTTGTTACAGTTGTAATTTGATCATAGTGTGTTTGTATCGTCTTGCTAAATATGTTGTGAAGAAAGCTTAAAAGGGATGTTTCATATCCTTTCATCCTTGGACATTAAAGTGTTATATTAGAAGATTTAGTCCCAGTTGTGAAATCGATTTGCTTTTTTTAAATTTGAAGTACGAACATAGTTATCTTTTGTTCAATTTTTGTGATGTTCAGCTTAAAAGTATGACGCCATCGAAAAAGCACATACTGCTTTGTTGCGCCATAATGAAAGCCTAAACTATGGAATACTGCAAAAACTGATTAAAGATTTCCGAACTCCTCCGAAGAGAAAATCCTTTTCTCTGCGACTCTCCGGCCGTCTAGAAAAAGTGGAACCACCGAGTGTAACAAGTCTCCTATACGCAAGCGAGTACACTATTGTCTCAGCCTCATCTAATGCAAAAAGGTATAGTTTTCATTCCTCAGCCATAGGAAAGTGCATGATCACTCGATTTCTAAATAAACGGGTTATTGTTCTCAAGAACCTAAAGTTAATTATTGTAGACTCTGTTTCAGTGGGTTAAGGCTCTGGGATACAAGAAGAATTGCCGTAAATGAAGAAGGGTACCTTTTATCTACATTAGAAGTTCCCATAAGCAAGGATGCAGGCAAACAGTCAACTTTATCAAAACCTTCAATGGTTTCTTGTGTAATACCTCCAGCTTCAGGAGTTACGAGCCTTTGCCTCGACCGTTACGGGAGCTCACTGTTTGCAGCTGTAACGGATAATTGCATATATGAATATGGAATATTAACGAGCAATACTAAACCAAGTCAGTGCAAAAAAAA